AACGGCCATGTTTCACAGCCATATAGGAGAACGGAGCTAACTGCTGCGCAGTACACCCGTCCTTTGGTGAGCGAACGGATATCTCGCCTACGCCATAAGTGACGCAGGTTGGCAAAAGCCAATAGAGCTTTCTGTATCTGCGCTGAGATTTCGTCAGTCACCAGGCTATCAGCGCTGATGAGACTCCCTATCCACAACTCTAGCACGGAATGAGCCGGTGAATATTAGGGAAATAGTATTTAACTTTACAAATTGTTTTGTTATACTCAAACCATTACATTTATTATTGAAAATTAATTTTCATTTGAAGGCTAATGAGTAGTATGACTTTTGAGTAAAATTAAATTAGATCATACAAATTGATGATGACTAAAAAGCATTTAACTTTCAATTGATTTTAGATTAAAACGTAAGTGGATTTGAGCAATCACATAGTATGGTTAGTTTGAATATAGTTATGTTGTATTATGGCATAAAACTGAATGTATCAAATCAGTGCTTGTTATATAGAGAAATTTGAAATTATGAATTGATCAAACTTAGACCACCATTAGAAACATGGATGCACTGGACGGCCGTTTCGTCCTGGTATGGGATTCATCAACGGCATTTGCATAACCAATCACTCTCAGGTTTCTGATGCATCAAATATATTTCCAAGATCAAATTTCAGTCAATGGAATAATTTGATCCATTTCAGATTGAATTAAATCTCATGCACATATTACAATTAAAAGGCTATCTGGACTTGGTACTTAAGTAGATGATGCAGTTATATTTTAGTAGAACAGCACTTGGTTACAATTATGAATTTCAAAATTATATAAATTCACCCTCTAACTGTAAGGCTAATTTTACGTTAGTTTTCAGGAGATCCAACGAGACTACCCACGTGTTAACATGTGAATAATACCGTGGTGCAACCGCCACACAGGTATCTGACACCCTGGTGGACCATTCATACCACTTATATACACTAGTGTATATATAATGATTATTTTCGATCCATGATCGCGTCAATCAATGTGCACAGCATGAGCAGGCCATTTCAATTCAACCAGCTTACAGGATAGGACATACCCTGCGAAAAGCACCGAACTGCGTCGCAAGACAAGCCCTGACGTGGAACCCTCAAGGTCAAAGGGAAAGACAAAGGCCGAGGAACACATTACGCCGAGAAATAGAGAAAGATATAAGAAGAATGAACAAAAACTGGAAAGAACTAGAAAGGGTAGCCCAGGACAGAGTTGGCTGAAGAAAACTGGTGGGCGGCCTAAGCTCCATTGTGGTAAACAGGCGTAAGTAAGTAAGTAAGCCTACATGACTGTCAAACTTATTATTATTAGCAATGGTAATATGCAATACAGCACTCCAGTGACAATGTCCCTCGGGAATGTTGCAAAACAACCACCAGTATCAACGAAGTCGGTCACCCTGCTAACCAAACTTGCATATTGATTGTTAACAATGCTTGCCAAAGCAATGCTAAGCCATCCAAAATGTTCATCACAACGAACCTTTGGTCTTATAGGAAACCTTCAGCTCTATATAGCAGTATAGTATGGCATAGGTTAGCAAGAGATGCAGCCCAGCTTGATGCAAATATGCTCAAACACTCTTATTTCCCTTTGTGTCTCATGTCAGGTAATGATATTTTCACAATACCGAAATTTTTATTTTTCGACCAAATGAGACTTGAATTAGGAGTAGTATCCCTATTAATATCTACTTGGATACAGGTAGATTCAGCTTACGAGTCTTAAATGAAACGAAAAGTGCATCCTGAATTCAACTGCTAGACACACTACATATTTTAATATCGATTTTTGAATCTTATCAATTGCTTCTATGTACACTGAAAAATATATATATTTTGGATGGGCTTTAAAAAAATATAAGTTTCCGTCGACTAATGGTAAAACTTTATTGATCACACTCAGAGGGAAAATGTTATTTTAGTGTACCATTGATGAGTATTTGCTGAAAAAAAATTCTTAATGGGATGAACATTTCAAAAATCACTTTCAAACGAAATAAATAAGCGATTCAGCATAAGTGAAATATCTTACGAATGAAAAATATATATTGTGTAGTTCTTATGATCTTGCCCTAATTGTAAACAATTAACAAGCAGATTTAAATTTACACTTTACACTTACAAGTCAGTTAATCAATGAATAGTAGTAGTTCACAGTTTAAAGACAATAGTAATAATTAATTAATTTCTGTGAATACAAGTACATTGTAATGCCTACATTAACATTGAAAGACTTTAATTTATCGCCAAAGGCCCGGTATTGTTAGCTAAAAGTCTACTTGAAATTACGATAATCTACACACACACTTTGTTAGTCAGTCAGTCAGATGCAACGTAGAACTTCGTAAGTAAGTACATCAGTTCATGTTGCCATACCACATCAGCACAGACATATAATTGTCAATTCAAATCAAATAGTAGAAGAGGTAGTAAAGGTATTATTAGAAGTAATCGGAGAGATTAGCATTAGAAGATATTATTCAAGAAGTATGATTCAGTGAGAAAAGTTTACAAAGTTGAAGAATCCAGAAGAATGAATGCACCGGCGCTATTGCGAACGATTTTGAGCAATGTCATTCAAGGTCTCTAACCATCAGTTACTATCGTCTCGCGGACCCCAACCAAGTAGCTTACATCTACCAACATGACTCAGTCCACTTGTCAGTGACTTCATGGATTTTTGCCATGTTTTGGTCTGGCCGCCCCTAGCTTTCTTCCAGCCTATTTCTACATCGCAAAATAATGCTTGACGAGGCAGTCGGTGGTTAGGCATACGTAACACATGTCCCTACCACCTCAACTGATGAAGTTTTACTACTTCATCCATTGACCTGCCATCCTTACCTAGCACCCGTTTCCTAATAACAGCATTGCTTACTCGAGTATCCCATGATACACGAGCAATGCTTCTAAGATATCTATAATCGAAAACCAGTAACCTACGAATATCTTCTACTGTGACTGGTCATGTTTCACAGCCATAAAGTAAGACGGAGTGAACTACTGCGCAGTAGACTCGTCCTTTAGTCAGCAAACGGATATCTCGCCTACGCCATAAGTGACGCACACTTTGTAGATTCAAAATTCACTTATAATCTGTCTTTCTCTTTCTCGTTTTCGATACACCTGCCATCTTGTGTAGTCAATGTGTATAAATCTTTTGAATGATTTTTTTTTACTTTCCTGAATATTGTTTGATTTACAGCTTTCGTCAGTCAGTTACCAAATTTTCATCAGCCTACCTTATAATAGTATTCTTTAGACTATTATCAACGTATCAATGATAGCTTAGATCTTTGAAGAAAAAAAAGTAACTTATCACTTGCCAACTTAACAAGCTTAAATCTTCCGAGAAAATATTAATTTGGCTTATAGAGAGAACACATAAAATAATTGTTTCAAATTTAACGACATGTGGTTTTACAAAAACTCCGCCTGTAGACCCTTCGGGACTACTACCGTTCCCAAGCCCAGATAAAGGAGGAGGGGGTTGGCGCCCCCATTCCAACTAAAAACTAACTTGCCAAAAAACGCTAAGCAGTAGAAATAATTCAAAACATTTTAACTCTGCCCTAGGAGTTGGAAGAAGAATTATGACGAGAAAGATATGAGAAAAATGGACAAACATTGGACAGAACTGGAAAGGGAAGACCAGGACAGACAGAGTTGGTTGGAGAAAACTGGTAGGCGGCCTATGCTCCGTTGAGGGTAACAGGCGTAAGTAAGTAAGTAAGTTTTACAAAGGTTAGAATTTCATAAAAGAAATTTTTGAAAGAACAGTTGATCGATAAGTGATCAGTGATCAAAATCATCTTTGCCTTGACTTTTAAGTAATGATAGAATTCGATTAATCAGTTTGAAATGTAGTTAGTTACCTGTCTTGATGACTCTATATCATGTACAATAATTCATTCATGTGGTTGTTTGAATTTCCTCAATAATATTTAAAACTACAGCTGATCAGTCTCACTTGTATATATATATATATATATATATATATATATATATATCCTGTGCAGATTGTGTTAACGATGTCTTTAGGCTATCAGCACTTTTATTAGAGATGAATAGTGACTAGCAATGATATTTAGGACACGTTTGATACTTGCCAGCTAAAAGTACCTGCATCATAGAGGTGATACTGATTCAGAGATTTCAATTCATACCGTTCACTTCGAACAGTATCGTGTTATTCACTTAAATACTAAGTGGCAATGCGATGGCAACTCTGACATAAAAGTACCTCCATGACTAGTTCCAAATAAGACGAAATACACGTACTGGATTACACGTGCTAGCCATTATCCGCCTCCGCTAATAATCATGTGTTGTCATTCAACATATTCAACAGGGAAATGTTATGAAGTTTTCGACCGAATGAAAGTCGTCAATGAAACATGCTTAAGGATCAGTTAGCTAATTCGAGTAACAGCCTAACACACCTTGTTGATGAGTGTGTAGTTAGCACAAAATCTCATGTCTTGTCAGCTACTTGGAACTGTCCAACATGTCAAAACAGTTTCAGACCACATAAACATATATATATATATATATATATAAATAGTTGCATTACGGGGTTGTGAAGATTGTTAAGTTACACATGTTTTTTGAAACCATGAATCGATCAATGTGTTAGACCACTCCGTGAATATGATCAAGTTAGACATTAACACTGTTAGATACCGCCGGCTCAGTGGTCCAGAGGTTAGGGCATTAGCGCACAATACTGAAGGTCACGGGTTCGAATCCTCCGGGGTGCAGGAGTCGTGGATGCGCACTGCCACTGCTGATGAGTAGTCCCATACCAGGACCACGATTCGGCCGTCTTTCAGTGCTTCTTCCAAGTTTCTAATGGTGTTAGTCTAACAATCATTGATCGATTCATGGTTTCAAAAATATATACATATATAGTTGTTCATTTACAAAAGAATCATAATAATACATATCCACCGGCGAAACTTACTATCAATTGATTGGAAGACAATGATTCCGGTTCATCACTATCCACAATAGTTGAACAACATTGAAATGAATTCATTTTTACATCTGGATACATTCTAGTAAGATAAGGTGTAATAATCGGTATTGGGACAAGTATTGGCAATGGAAGTGAATAGGACATTGTATTCGATTGTTTCAAGTCTAAACAATTCTTTGTGTTATTCGAATAATTTGAACTAGTATCATTATCAGAGCTCACATCATATCGATTAGGTTGATAGTGTATAATCTCTGTCTTGTTCTCTTCCATTTCCAGTTGTTCCTGTGTACCGCCGGTATCCTGTTCACTTTTCTCATCCATATGATCATGTTCATTTGGGAAATTTTGGGCACGTTTATTATTCCACATATAGTGAATATCTTCATCATTTTCTGAACAGAATTCATTTAAATTAGGATTGACATATTGCCACCAAATATTGATTGGTTTCGTTTGATGTTTTGTATGATATGGTGAAGTATTGATTCGATGACGATTATGGCTACCGATATGGTTTGTTATGGCGTTGATACCAGTAGTAGTAGTGGTAGTAGTAGTAGTAGTAGTAGTAGTAGTAATAGTAGTATTAGTACTTGTAGGATTTATCGATGATGAACTATGAATAAAAGTTGTACAATTATTTATTTTGGCCAGGATTTATAATACTTTGTTTACTGACATAGAATGTTAAAAATTCTGTTCAAAATAATTTTTTCAGTGATTAGTAATCAAATGTGATTTTGCATTGACAAAAATCAAGTATACAAAAGCAATCCATTAAAGCTCATTGACACACAGACACACACACACACTGACACAGACACACAGACACATACACACACATGCATACATTCAAATGAAAACAATTTATATCCAAATTTACTTGATACAAATAATATTACATTGGGATATTATATATTTTTTTTCTTAGGGTTAAAAGCATGAATCAATTTGAAAATAAAAATACGAAAAAACGTTTGACAGTTAACCAATAGAAAATCGAATTGATTGACCAATCAGAAGAACAAGATAATGGATGTGAGCAAAGCAAACAAGATGGTTTCCAGTGAAATTATATCTACTCAAGTTTTCTAAAGTATGCGCATATGTATATATTTATATGTATATATAAGCTTAACTTTCAACCAATAAAGACAATATACATACAAGTCAATAACAGCATTAATGTAATTGATACAACTAGAAGTATTAAGGAAATTAACTAGTTAACGACTGTTATTAGTTGCTAGTGAAATAATAGATTTTAGAAAATTTTGGCAAATGAAAAACTGATTGATAAATCACACTATATACATATATATATATATATATATATATATATATATATATATATATATATATATATATATAGTTCTACTGTATGGAGAGGAAACTTGGAGAACTGCAATAGGCATCATCCATAAGATAAATGTGTTTATTAACAGTTGTCTACACAAAATACTCCGGATTCGTTGGCCAGACACTATCAGCAACAACATACTGTGGGAGGGAACAAACCAGATTCAGGAAGAAGCGGTGGAAGAGGATAGGACACACACTAAGAAAAGCACCTAACTGCGTCACGAGACAAGCCCTCACATGGAACCCTCAAGGCAAAATGAAAAGAGGAAGGCCAAGGAACACATTACTTTTCGGAGAAATAGAAAAAGATATGAGAGGAACGAACAAATATTGAACAGAACTGGAAAGGGAAGCCCAGGACAGAGTTGGTTGGAGAAAACTGGTGAGCGGCCTATGCTCCATTAGGGGTAACGGGCGTAAGTATATATATATATATATATATATATATATATATATATATATATATATACACGTATATACATACATATAAGAGTTCATTGATCTGGTTATAAAAGTCAGCTGAAAGTTCTTCCAGTTTATCATAGATTATCGTAGTATTTGATCAAAAATGGTTAAAATCAAGTAGATTGCATGCAATATTTGTCAAGATAAATGCCTTTTTTCGATTTAATTGTTGAATCACAGTACTACCGTAGAGAGATGAATATCAACTGGATTATAGTGTTTGTATAAAATTACTTTACTGTTGAATAGTACTGTATTGTATTTTATCGCTGTCAACAGCAATGTTGTGAATATACAACTACGACGAAGCTGATAGCAACTGATTTGCCCAAGAAACCAGTGTATCTACAGTAGTTACTTTTCAAGGGTGATCATTGCATGAAAATTACAACCAAACAGACTGCAGCTGCAATAAAAAAGACCTTCAATGCAGCTAATTTGAGGCTTATCACAACAACCCAATCGATCTCAGTTACCCCAATCAAGTCTCCAAGACCGATTCAGTCCAAATCCCACTGTATTTACCAGTTCACATGTAACTGCGGAGAAAGTTACTTAGGGAGGACAGATCGCCGATTGGAAGACAGGATAGGGGAACATATTCCAAAATGGCTAATCAAATCCATGATTCATCAACCTAGCCCATCATTTCAAAATCGATCAAGAAACCCAGCCTCGTCCATTGCAAAACATCTAGTGATGAGTGGTCATCAAATTGACCCAAAATCAGCCTTTAGAGTTGTGACGTAAAATCAAAACCCACACACACTGAAACTACTTGAAGCTATCTTGATTGGTCAGAAAAGTCCAACTTTATGTGTTCAAACACAGCTGCATGTTGACCTTTGTTTACCATGGTTCTAGTGAGTGAATGTCATGCTAAATAAGAAATTTTGACCTTATCTTCAAAACTGTATTTACACAAATAACATGTTGCTTGTATGTGACTGACGAGAAAGCACGAAATGGTACTATCTCACAAAATATGTCTTCTTATTTCTCTGTTGAAACCATTACAGATTTAGGCAGCTTCATTGATGAGCCCTGTAGGTCTGATGCAGATGTGAAGGCGTGGATAGGCAAATCAAGCGCTGCATTTATATAACTGAACAACATCTGGAACTCAAAACAACTGTCAACAAACACCAAAGTCAGAATTTTCAATAAAAATGTCAAAACAGTTCTACTGTATGGGGCGGAAACTCAAAAGCCATCATCGGGGAAGATACAAGTGTTTATTAGCAACTGCCTGTGCACAATACTTCCGATCGGTTGGTTAGACACAGTCAACAACAACCTACTTTTGGAGAAAACAAACCAGATTTTAGCTGAGAAAGAAGCCAGGATGAAGACCTGGAAGTGGATAGAACACACATCGCGGGAATCACAAAAGTGCATCACCAGACAAGTCCTCACTTGGAATCCCCAAGGTCAAAGGGAAAGAGGAAAGCTGAGGAACACATTACTCCGAGAAATGAAGACATACATTAGAAGAATGAGCAAAACTTGAATAGAATTTAAAAGAAGGCCCATAACAGCGTAGATTGGAGAATGGTGGTCGGCGGCCTATTCTCCATTAAGGGGTAACAGGTGAAAGTAAGTAACTGAAATTATCTAATTCTTTTCTGTGATACACAGAGTAGTGAAAAAAATTAACGTTAGTCCCGGTGTGGTGCGCACTACTTATAAGTAGTATATGACGTGAGTGTAAACGTAAAGTCTGGTAGCAGAAGATGGGGGAAGATCAAGAGAAAGGAAGAGTGGAATTTGTATGAAACGCATGAATAGTGGGTGAAATGTCAGACAATGGATTGATGATGGATTGAAGATTTACAAATTAACCGTTTACGCGATATGGTTTTCCTATTTTACTACTGAGTAACTCTGTAATTTTCGTTAAATACAAACAATTCGGTTGCCCTCATCTGTGTTCTCCTTCACAAAAAATATAACCTCAACGTCAACTGATCAGGCCATGCGCGAAAGCGTAAAATCCAAAATTAATATCTTTATCAAGTGGATTCGAAGGAACTAACATATCCCAACATCTTTATTCGCTAAACAACTATGGTTTATTCGAATTCATTCGAGTTCAAAGTTGTCAATATATGTACTGAATTTTACCAAAAAAGAACAACATTTTCTTCATCAATATAGTAGTCACTTTTATCCTGGGACACCCGAGTGAGCAACGCTGTTATTAGGAATCGGGCGCTAGGTAAGAATGGCAGATCAATAGATGAAGTAATGAAACTTCATCAGTTGAGGTGGTTCGGACGTGTGCTGCGTATGCTTAACCACCGACTACCTCGAAGAGCTTTGTTATGTAGAGTAGGAGTAGGTTGGGAGAAAGTTAGGGGCGGCCAAACCAAAACATGGCAGAAATCCATGAAGTCATTTACAAGTGAACTTAATCATGTCCGTAGTTGTTGACTACTTGGTTGGGGTCCGCGAGATGATAATAATCGATGGTTAGATACCTTGAATGACATGGCTCAAAATCGTTCGCAATGGCGCCAGTGCATTTATTCTTTGTGTTCTCTCAAATCCTAATCTTATGGATTCTTCAATCCCTCTAGCTTTTACTTTCTAAACTTTTCTCACTGAATCATACTTCTTGAATAATATCTTCTAATCCTAACCTCTCCAATTACTTCTAATACCCTTACTACCTCTACTACTATTGGATTTGAATTGACAATTACATCTCTGTGCTTATATGTGGTATGGCAACATGAACTGATGTACTTACGTACGAAGTTCTACGTTGCATCTGACTGACTGACACTTTTATCCAGGATACAAACATCCTGAAATGTATTAAACAAACAATTCAATCAAATCAAACGTTATTATTCTTTGAAAAGAAAATCTATCTATCTATCTATCTATCTAATGAATAGTAAAAGTTAAACATATTTTTTCAGCTTAACCAACTATTGATGAATCTTTTTTTTACTTCTTGGAAAATAATACTACATTACATTACATTACACTACATTACATATTACATTTAGATTGATCAATGACCGGAAATACTTTATCAATTGACAATCATCTCATTTTAAACAAATATTTCAATTGTGTGTACACATTGAACATTGTATACTACTACATACATCCGTACATACATATTTATTGATTAAAATGTACAAGAAAAAGTTTACAGGAAATTTTTTCATGCATTCTATGTAGTAGATAGATAGATGTGACATCTTCTTTCTATGAACGAGATTGTGTTTGTTTGTTTGGTTGGTTGGTTTTTTCAACTACTACTACTACTACAGTTGTTAACAAAAGAAACTTGTTATATATATACTACTACTACTACTATTGACAATTGAACATTGAATGAAAAGTTTAACGCAACTTTGTGTTTTTTTTCTTTACTCTAGTTTCTTGTTATACATTTTATGTTAAATTCAATTTAACTGAAGTGGATATGATATCCGGCATTGAAATACTACTAATAATCATAAGCAAGTGTATTGTTGACCGTCAATTACATCCGTTTATTTAATGAAAAATAATGTTGTTAATTGTGTTCTTATGTATATATATTCTGACGAATGAATGATAAGTTGAAGTAAAAAGTTGGTTAATGCGTTAGTGTTCTTTCTTTTAAAACAAAAAATTGACATTTTGATGGCTAGTAGTAATTTATTTGAAAAGTATATGCATATGAATGACAATGATATATATATATATATATATATATATATATATATATATGCATTACGGGGTTGTGAAGATTGGTAAGTTACACATTTTTGAAACCATGAATCGATC